CGCGCGGCACACGGCTGATCATTACTAGGCTTCTGTGCGCTGTTGGAGCGTGAGACTCTCCTGCACGAGGTTATGCCCAGCATAGAGGAGCTGGTCTCCGATCAATCACAGCATGTGCGCGCCGCACTTGGCACCCAGATCAGTGGGCTCGCCCCCATTCTTGGAAAGGAAGAGTAAGTTGCGACTGCGCGTGACCACGTGCTTACCTGCTAACACGAGTCAGGACCATCTCGCATCTCCTTCCCATGTTCCTCCAGATGCTCAAAGATGAGTTCCCCGACGTCCGCCTAAACATCATCTCCAAGCTCGAGTCTGTCAACAACGTCATCGGCATCGAGCTCCTCTCGCAGTCCCTCCTCCCCGCGATCGTCCAGCTCGCCGAGGACAAGCAATGGCGCGTACGTCTTGCCATCATCGAATACGTTCCCCTCCTCGCCTCACAACTCGGTGTACAATTCTTCGATGAGAAGCTCAGCAGCCTGTGCATGAGCTGGCTGGGCGACACAGTTTTCTCGATCCGTGAGGCATCCACTCAGAACTTGAAGAAGCTTACGGAGGTTTTCGGTGTAGAGTGGGCCAACGACGCTATTGTTCCCAAGGTCATGGCTATGGGCCAGCACCCCAACTACCTCTACCGAATGACGACTTGCTTCGCCGTGTCAACACTCGCGCCCGCTCTCAGTCTAGATGTTATCGAACAATCCATCATTCCCATGATGGACAAGCTGGTCAACGACGATATCCCCAACATTCGCTTCAACGTCGCAAAGTCATATGGCCAGCTCATCAACACACTCAAGCAGCTGCCTGAGCAGGGTACCGTCATCGCTCTGGAGAAGGCTGGCACACCGGGCCAGGGCTGCCAGAAGGCTACAGATGTCATTACAAAGAGCATTCTGCCGAACCTCGAAAAGCTCCAGCAAGATGACGATGTGGATGTACGATACTTTGCGACGACGGCCGCACAAGGTTTCACGGACGCGATGCAGACTTAGAAGATCCAGCTTCGCCCGTGTTCTTGAATGTGGAGAATGACATCATGAATAGCATCAACGATGGTTAATGATCTGGAAAGACTGCAGGACAACAGTCTGGGGATGAAGGAAGAACCCAAGCCGCAAGCCCTGTAGGTGTAGCTTCGAGCTTTGTTTTACGACACTTGAGTGAGGCTAGTAGTTGGGCTCACTAGCAATAAACCACAAAGATTACCCAGTTAGAATCATTCCTGGCAGATTTTCAATGCATACTTTGGCGTTATTCTGAGGCGCACGGTGTGTGATGTGGATCATTCATTTTATTATGTGACCAGCTATCGAGGAGTAGCTACAGCTTCTCTCTTATGGTAGGCATTTAGACGGCACCAGCATCCTTGAGCAGGTTGTTGAGCTGACCCTTCTTGGCCTGCAAATCGCTGTTTCCACCAATGTGCTTCTGAGCGATGAAGATGTTGGGGACGGTGGTCTGGCCGGTCATTTCGCCAAGGGTGGACTGAATGGCTGAGCCATCGTCTATGCGCCTGTTAGCTGGTGTTCTTCGATACACCGTTTCGCAGCTATCACGTACCGACTTGGTCCAACTCAATGGCGTAGAACTTTGCGCCGCTGTCGCTCAGCAGCTGCTTGGCCTGGCGGCAGTATGGGCAGTACGACTTGGAGAAGACGGCGACGGGGTTCTCGTCGATGATGGACTGGACCTTGGTCTTTGTGGCGGACATTGTGGCGGGCGAGGGGGCGCGCGTGAAGAAGTGACGCAGGAAGGAAATTTTGGCGGTTGCTGTAGATAGCTGAAGACTTGTGAGTACTGTGTTGTGATGTTGGAAGGGTGGGCGGGGTGACGTACTTATGCGTGAAGTCGAGGTTTGTCAGATGATGGTAGTAGCTTTATGAGCTTGGTTCTAGATGTACTGTATACAAGTAGTGGATTAGTGTGCAGCTGCCCCCCGCAGTAGCAAACGTTCTCGATGGCAAATGATGCAATCACTCGTGAAGTACTGCGCTAACTGCCGTCGGAGATGAATCGGCGATGCGACGTGATGTGCTTACAAAGACTAAAAGACGGACAGGGGTAAGGACGCGGACTCGTCATGACGCGTGCGGCTGATTGCGACGCGGACGAGAGTAGGGACCTAGCTTGTACGCATGTTTAGACCATAGTGCCAAGTGCATAGCTATGAGAATCGCGGTGAACGTAATCCTGGAGTTCTAGATGAAAAGATGGAAAAGTAGAACGTAACAGAAATCAGACCGGGTCGCGCACCTTCCGCATTCCGAGATTGAGCAGCGTTCCGACGCTTCCACGCCGTCCGTCGCGACAACTGTCAAACTATCTTTGGGCCAGCCACATCCAGGCTCCCTTTCACTGTCACCACACATAGCCCTAATCCGCGCCATCACCGCCACAACCCGGGCCTTTTCTATGCGCACCCCGTACCACACACCACGATGACGTCCTCAGCGGCCGGCTCAACCGCCTTCTTCGTCCTCTCCCTCCTCTCCATATGCGGCGCCGTCCTGCTGCTCCTCCGCTACTACCTCCCGCTCCGCACCACACCCGCATACGTCGTCGTACCCGTCTTCTTGGCAATAGCGCTGCCGGCCAGCATTGTTGTGCTCCTGCCGATCGATCTCGCGAGCAGTGCTGGCTTGGATACAACGGATGGCGCGAGGGGCATCTGGTTGAATGACACGGTTGTGTACAAGGCATGGCGCATCATCTACTGGCTCACGTTCGCGCTCACGTGGGCAATCCTGCCTATGCTGGGCGAGTACTGCGATAGTGGGTACAGGGAGCCCAAGGCGAGGTTGCAGTATGCGCTGAGGAGTAATGGACGATACTGGCTCATTGTCGCTGGGTGCAGTATCGTCGGGTCGATCTATTTGATCATCTGGAATGGATTCGAGGCGGATACTTTCAAGAGTTTGGTCATGGCGCTGGCGTACACTTGGGGTCTTATACTGGGTATCTACCTCATGGGCCATGGACTCGTCGCATTCCCCAGGAGTCTGTTTCGCTACGCGAGTGTTAGTGAGAGGTTGAAGAGGATACAGAGTTCGGCGCCAAAGGTCCACGAGAGGTTGACCGAGGCGCTGGAGAAGCTGGACCAGTATGAATACCAGGTTGTGCAGCTCAAGCAGAGGAAGAACGGTACGGCGCGGGAGTTTCAAGAGTGGATTGATGAGTTGGCCGAGAAGGGCAATCTTCCGGAGAACAGGGCGGGTGTTGTTGGACGTATGGGTACGGCAACGGTGCCTCCAGTTATCACCGAGAGATACCTGGCGGACCTGACGAGGAAGTTGAAGCGCGCGCGTCATGCGAAGTGTCGGTTCGAGAACGAGTGGGATCATGTTGTGCGCAGGGCAGTCAGGACACAGGCTATCCTCGACTCGAAAGCCAGCAAACATCTCGAGTTCAAAGGTGCCGCGTTGCCAACCTCGAGAGGACTGTTCGATCGCATGACAATCCTCACGCCACTCACGCGCTATTATCTACACGTCCACGTTATCCCTGCCCTGGCCTACGTCTTTTGGGCCATCACGATCCTCGCCTCCATCTCCATTGTCTGGTCAGAATGCGTGCGCGAAGCCCAGGACTTCGGTGGGCCTAAACTTTCCATCATCGGCTGGACAGTCGTACATCGCCACGACAACGGCCGGTCGTCGGTTGGATTCAACAGCCAGATCATTGCCGCTGCCTGGCTGTGCTACATGTGTATTTGCGCATTCTACAGTCTCACTGAAGTCAAGATCTGGGGCAACAGAGCACTCGTGCGAAGGAACACATACCAAGAGTCCGCGACCTGGTACGGTCTTCAAGTCGCCAAGTTGACAGTCCCGTTAAGCTACAACTTCCTCACCATGACCGACAAGAACATCTGGAAAGGCACCATGTTCTACAAGTTCCTCGGCCGCCTCATCGTCCTCACACCCCTCGGCGAAGGTTTCAGCGCCTTCTTCCCCATCTTCATCCTCGTCCCCGTCTTCGCCACAGCCTTCGGCCTTTACGGCAAAGTAAAGAACATCTGTGGCTTTGGCGACCTACTCGACGACGAAGAGGACTCAGCAGGGAACCACGCTGGCACCGGGTCCTGGCGCGAAGGCCGCGCATTAATCGAGCGCGAAATCCAGGGCGCAAGCGGGAACGTCCTTGGTCTTTCCCAACGAAGCTCTACCAGCCCGCCGAACGAACGCTACACAGACAACCCGGCACCATCGTCAGCCTTCAACCTCCCCATATCAAACGCAGCAGCAGCTACCAGTGGCCCAAGCACAACGCGCCCCGACCGCCGCCGCCCACAACTCAACGACGAAGAAGACGAAGGCAATTTCTTCGAAAACTTCGCATCGAGAGTCAAGAACACATTTGAGACAAATGACTTTTCCTTCCCCCGGCCGAAGTGGCTGGGTGGTGATGACGATGAAGTCGAGGCTGGACGTAGTAGACGGACACAGTTAGATAGAGGGGAAGGGGAGCGCGGAAGTGGGTTCTTGAGCTTGTTTGGAGGGAGGGGTGATGAGGGGAGGGTGAGGTTGTAGGCATTTGTTGTATATGATAGGTGGGCATTGCGATGGCGTTTCTTACAACTTTGGAATAGATCATGGGTTTGCGTGGGTGTATGAGTATTGGGTATACGGATTTTACATATAGGGTACATGGCTTTAGACTTTTTGTTCTGCGCTGTTGCGCTTGGCATATATTTAATATCAGATACTCTTATGTTTTAGGGTGGGTGCCTTCTAGTTGTGGGTGCCGAGGCAGTTGCAATGACTTTTGGCATGTTGTGGGTGTGTCTGGTCAGCCTCGTGCGCCTCGCGCGGTTCACCGGTCGCGCTTTCCTTGGCTTCAGCCTGATGTAGCTGCCTGGGATCGTTGTTAGCCTAAGGCAGCCAATTAAATAAAGCGATGTATGCACCTTGTCGATACTCGACCGCCCCCTTCCCCAGCCTTCTCGTTTGGTACTTCTGCACATTCCTCTTCAACTCGCCAATCCCATCGTCTGGACTATGGACGGGCACATCTACGGCAGCCGCGTAACTGAGCTGGATCCGGGTCAGTGCACGGATGAAGCGCCCGAACACGATCCTGAGGGGCCCAAATACACCGCAAATCATGCATCTGTGGATGTCATGGATGTCGCATTCAAAAAACTCGACCTCGCTCCTTCGGAAGCCCAGATCGACTGTACTACTCCCAAGGAGATTGGTTGTGATCACAATCGCAGTCTCGGAAACGATTTCGATTACGGTTTCCCCACGAGTACAGCCGATGAGGAACAATTTCGAATGAAGCAAGAGGACGGACATAGTAATGATGACGATGATGTATGTCAGAGATGCAAGTCCTTCCGTTGGGATCAAATCCCATATACGCAGTTACCTCATGAGACTCTGCTTCTTATCGACATGACGAAGGCTCAGCTAGCAGCATCGCACTGCCGCATCTGTCGCTTTGTCGCGAAGATCATCGAAGCCCAGCACCTCCCAGAAGACAAACACTATTCGCTGGTAGGATTTAGAGTGGACTCCACCACCTCTAATAATTTCTGTTCAAACATACCCAACATTCAAGGAAAAGGAAACACAGGCCTTGCACAAATTAAGCCTCATGATCGGGAGACTGGAGAACAAGTTTGGACAGCCTCTGATGGAGAGTGGAGCCCGTTCCCACATCTCGCAATCACCGATTTTTCACCGCAGGACAACTCGGTCGAGAAGCGTTCTTACAAGGCCAGCCACATGAAACTCGATCAGATCAAAGGTTGGATTGAAGACTGCCACATAAAACACCGCGAATGTTACATTGGAGACGTCCAGCATCTGCTGCAAAACTTGCGTCTGATTGATTGTGGTTCAAAGACTGTTGTGCCTGCGCCTGTGGGATGCCATTACGTGGCACTGTCTTATGTTTGGGGACAGCACAACGATGCTTTTGACGACTTGCAAAATCCACCAAAGACTATCGAAGACAGTATCTATATCGCGCAAATGCTAGGATACCGGTACCTCTGGATCGACAGATTTGTGCGTACCTACCATCTTTCAGTGCATTCGTTGAGACTAACCAACCCAGTGTATCGACCAGAATGATAGAATGGATAAGCACACGCAGGTCAGGCAGATGGGCGAAATATATTCCGCAGCACAGATTACGCTTGTGGCGGCAGCAGGAAGCGACCCAAGCTATGGCTTACCCGGCGTCCTGTCGAGGCCACGACTCATACCGGAAGCCGAGGAAATCCAAAACATGTGTCTGAAGCCTCTCCCACGCTTCGTTCAGCTAGCAGAAGTAGCTGAGTCAAGATGGGCTTCCCGAGCATGGACCTTCCAGGAATTCTATCATTCCACGAGGCGTCTAATCTTCACTGAGAACCAGATTATCTTTGTGTGCAATAATCACATCAGGTGTGAGGTAGATTTGTCGGGAATCCACTGGCCCAGATCAGATGAGTTGCCAACAGAAGATGGGTATTGGGCTCAACGTTGGTTACCCCAACATGGGTTGGCAGGGGATCAAGGGTCGAGCTGGACCGCTATTGACCGGGCCGCGGGACATCTACAGGCCTATAGCAATCGGGACTTGACGTACGACAGTGATAGCTTGGATGCTATCTCAGGTGCTCTACATTCGCTTCGGAAGGATTCCATTTACCATACCTGGGGTGCACCTTTTCGCCACGCTGCTGCGTATGCAGCAGATTCTCTTTCGGCAAGACTTCGACACTACAATCTCACATATTCTATACGTGATCGTGGAAGTTTCGTCTCTATTGGAAGTCGACGATCCACCAACACAGACGATAACGACGTCGAGCGCGTCCATGTATCTGCCTCGCAGGATTTCCAAAGTATGAACTATCCCTCTATACCTCAAAAAGGAGATAAATGCTCTCTCCTTGGACATGGGCAGCAAATTGAGATGGCCCTTGCATGGTATCACCAGGAACCAGCTCGTCGTCGATGTGGCTTTCCAAGTTGGTCCTCTATAGGATGGGAGGGTCCATTGAGCTGGTCAAGATGGGCCTGTAATATCGATCGCGAAGAGCCTCCTATAGTGCTGATTCAGGTTCGGAAAGCTCGACTGCACTTTCCAAAATTCAGCTGCGATTTGTCGAAGTTTGACCCGGCACTACAAGAAGATGTCGACCCCGCACCACCGACGCTTGAGTTTACAGCGAGAACAGCGAAGCTAGACTTGGTGCCTGATGGCTGGACTGATGGCTATCCTGATCATTTTCAAGTGGCGCTGGAGATCAACGATCATTACAAATACGCCTTTGGACTACACTGGGATGCAGACCCTGCTTCTTTAAGCTCGAAACAACTTGTAGGCGCTCTGCTCGATGGACGAACGGAACACTCAAAAGAGCTTGAAGGGTATCTGATGGTGCTTGCTCCATATGGCGACGTCTTGGAACGAGTTGGTTTGGTGCACCTACCCAGCATTGCAAAACGCCTGTACAACAATCATATGCTAGGACAAGACCTCCTGCCTCTAGCTGGACATACTGGGCGCGAAGCGGAGCATATAGCCCTCACAGGCTACCCTTGGGAACGCCGTACATGGTGGCAGAGCTCGTTTAGCGATTACCGCCCCGTTGTCATAGGATAGAAACACTTGGATAGTGCTTCCAGAGAACTGAAGGAACGCGCCGCAAACTAAGCAGAGAATTTGTGGATTGGCGAATGAAAGCTTTTCAGTTGAGGATCAGATCTCAGGCTTTGGAGGGGTTGAGCGAGGCTGTTGCACATTGCTTGACGCAGTCCAAATCAGGCAACTTCTCGAAAGCCGTCGATTGCCCGCGTCTGCATTGTTACCACGGCGTCGTCTGAACTCGAAGTACGCACCCTGAATTAACCACAGCGACCGTTCGGCAGCATCGCACCTCGTTCAAGAAGAAAAAACTTAAAACCCCCGGAGCCTACTTTGACGTTAGATCAGCTACGTTGCGTGCTTTTATTTTAATGTATGCTGCAAACCTGTTCAGGATTCTCATTGTGCAAGGTGATCGCAAAATGAAGAAAGGCCGGAATGAGGAACAGTATGTTATCGCGACTTCCATTACTTGAGCAGACAGTTTGATTTTGTTTCTCAGCCTATGCTCTACATTCCCAGCTCTCAGGCTTCTTATAACTACCCCCGAAAAACGTGTTCCTCGCCGGATACTTGCAATGCCTCCTCGTAAAGTCCACTCCACTCTTCACAGTATCATTAACAAACTTCGTGCCCTCAATAACCTCTGGCGCAACACCCTTCTCCACCCACTCCACCATCGCCGCAAGAACGTTGTGTTTCGCATCGAACGGAATACCAGCCTGCGCCGCATTTCCACCCTGACCGAACACCCACGCCCCTGGCCCCGTGCTGCAATGGAACATGCCCGAGATACGGAAGAAACGCGTCCATTCATCCATCTCTGCGTACGTGCTGTTACCGCGAACATGCTCATAAAATCTATTGGTATTGAAAGACGTGATCTGGTTGTCCTGCTGGCCGTGGTACATGAGTAACTTCCCGCCGCTTTCCTTAAATCCAGGCAAAGAAGAAGGGTAGGTGCGAATATCTCCTGGATTGAGATCTTGCGCTGCTTGCGCGTCATCGTAACAATATTCCGATGCGTTCCACGTTGGGTCGTTGTAGACGACGTATTTGAACCAGTCGTCTGAGTAGGCGAAGGGGGCGCCGGCGTAGAGTTTGTCGACGGCGTTGATTTCGCTGCCGGGTTGCATGGCCGGGTAGATTAGCTCGCCGTTTGGGAAACGGTAGTCGCTGAAGATTTTCTGGAGTTGCTGCACTTGGTTGTCGTTTAGGCAATTGGTGGTATTTGTGATGTTGTGACCGCAGAGTAGGGTTGTAGGGTCAAACTTGCATAGGGTCGGGTCCTCGATGATGCCGTCTTTGACTTTATCGATGGTATCGCATTGGCGTAGCACCTCGTCGTGGATCCAAGTCTGCCATGCTGCCTTCGAGATGAAGTCTGAACCTTTGATGGGGCCGGTGATGGTGTAAAAGTGGGCGCGCCAGGAGATGAGGTTGTTGAAATCGACGCCTGGAGCGCCGGCGACGATGCCATCGAAGTCATTCGGGAATTTCTCTGCGCTCTTGATGCCCTGGCGTCCACCGAGAGAACAGCCCAGGTAGTAAGATTTGGTATGGCACTTTCCATAAAACTCCTTGGCCAATGCTTTGCCCGTTTCGACGCTTAGGTGAAGACTATATTGCCGGTGAGTATATGCGCTGTGAGTAGTAGAGACATTCTTACGATCGCCAGGCAAAGTCAACTACCATCTCGGGATTATTGAGGTAGGCTACTCCTGTAGTACCGTTATGACCATTATTTGCGCCAACGCTGGCGAAGCCATTTGACGCTCCATATGCGATATCCTCGTATTTGATGCCTGTGGTCAAAGTCAGTACTCGCTGCGCTCGACACGCCATCCTATCCATCCAACACTTACAGCCATCAATGCCTCCATTCCCCGTTGCCAGAAAGCGACCGGACCAGTCCTCCGGGAACCATGCTTCGAAAGAGATCTTCGATGTTCTGGTCGTCTTGATCTCTAGTGTCATACGACAAAGGTCTACTGAGACAACCTGGCTAGCACGTCCACAAGTCGCGTCGTTGTCCGGAAACGTCAAATTAGTTCCTGCGGGGACATGTTGGAGAACGTTGCGGGTTGCGCCTTTGATGTATTTCTCAGGCTCGAATTCGAAACACCTCTTCTCGAATTCAGATGATGCAGCCGCGAATCCAGTCAGCGCGAACTGCGAGACAAGCAATACCAACGATGTACGGAACATATCGACGGGGAAGAAAGACTTGGCAACCGATCATCATGGGATTCTAGCGACAAGCAGTCTTTATAACCAGTGCGAAAAACACGGTAGGCTTGACAAGCCACCTCCAGCATGCGGGGTGCAAAATGCGGAGACCGGCACCATATCCCGACATTCTTCAATGATTGTAGAAGTGAATGATCCACCTCGATCTTCTCAATTCTCTTGCAATCGTAGCATACGGGCCGAACGCAGTGTCAATGGGACAATGAGTCGTGGATCTACTATTAGAGTTCCTTCTCGGGTGGTATGGCCAAGAGTCTGCCCAGGTGGCATCGCAAATTCGAGGCATGTACGCCGTGTCACACCTCGCACCGGCCAGGAAACAGATTGGGGCTTATGTCCGGACGCCTCACAGTCATTGTGCATATCTGACGGATAAATCGTGCGCAGGTGTCAGTTCAGTGGAGGAAGAAGAGACGAAGTAGTATTGCGGGGTTTCGGCGGTCGCGCCGAGCCCTGGGGCAGACATGTGACCTGGGGCCCTTTCGCGCTAGCTTGCATGCACCCGACAGGTGCGACGGACTTCCGAAGTCGATAACCCAGACAACAAGACCATCTCAGAAGCTTCGGATGATCGCCGTTGGGATGCGAATGCTTCGCAGCCTTCGTGTCGAGTATTTACACAGACGCGCCGTTCTAGATCGTCACCATCAACGTCCTTGCCTGCCCAGGTGTACCCCATCTATCAGCGCCTCAATTTCTCGGACGATCGTGTGTCGCTTCCGCTGCCACGGGTGGTTTTCTGCCATACTTCAAGGCCCATCCCATACCAATGCGCAAAGCCCAGTCTCATCTTGAGCTTTCGCGACTCCGTATGCTCTCGTCTATCGCAAACTCATGCGTCATAGTAATCCTCCTCTCTTCATGACGTCCCAGGATGAAGTCTTGCCAGGTGATCCCATCATTTTCATTCGCAGACCCGCACACTGTTGTCGTAGTCAAGCATAAATCCTCCTCAGCCGGTCGCGTTCTACCCCAGCGTTCGGTCCAAGCGGTAACCGTCCTCGACCCAGTCTCGCGACTCTCAGGGCCCTCCTGCTCCGGAGTATGGCTCGGTGTAACACCGAGTGCACCTGCCAAACAGCGCGTTATACGAATCAAAAGCGGGTGAAGCGTTGGAAGACATCCAGAGATGATGCCAATCGATGGCTCGACGGACGACCATATGAAGACATCGCTCTTTTTCCAGCTGACGTCTGGCGAGGCCATCAATCGGACGATGGTGATGATACGATAAAGCGAGGCGAAGCACACACTACAATGATTAGAAACAATACGGTTTCCTTACTTCGCAGTGCTTACAAGCTGCCGAGCAGGAAGATAAAGCAGATCGCCACTTTCTCCATTCTTTTCATCTGCAATTTGACAACGTTGGATATGGGTATACAAAGTATACACACATCGCCGAAGAGATTGAAGATCCCAGCTCCAAGGTAGAACTGCGATCGCGTAAGCAGACAGCTTCAATCACAATGTGGGGTACCTGCGGCGCACCTTTGCCTCATCGACGAGAATCTCTCCGTGTGCCCCATTCCATTGATCCCAGTAGTAGCTCAACGGTCGAGTGTACAATGGCAGAACGACGTGGTTTGTGATCAGGTAGGCAGCGGTCATGCCAACACAGAACCAACCCAACCAGTTTATACCGAAGATACGTCGATACAAAGCGAGGATGGAGAGTTTGATGACACAGACACTCCACGCGTAGACAAAAACGTATGCGAAGGTGATCTGTCAAATGTC